CTTTTTATGATATATATATATTTATATTCAGACTTTCCTTATATATATTCTCAAGTTTCATTCAATATATTCAAATTTCAATCAATATATTCAGACTTTCATTATATATATATTCAGGCTTTTATTATATATTCTCAAGTTTCATTCAATATATTCAGCTTTTCAATATCAGCTTTTATTTCCTGAACAGCTTGCCATATTATATGTATATATAAAGTTAACATGTATCTGAGATATGAACGATTTTCAGGTATAGTGAAAACTTTGAACTGTGTCAGAACAGTTACGTAGAGAGGTCATTCAGTCGTCGCCACCTCTCGCCTTATTAGAAATGCGAGAGCCCTTTGTGCCCTCCCTCCGAACCTCCCTTCTTCCTCTCCCTCTTACACACACTTCTCTTGTTCTGGATCAGCTGAGCAGCCTGAAAACAACACTTGCTAAGGAAAGGTAGAGTGTCCACCATGTCTCTCCTTCTCCTGTCTCCTTGTCAGTCCTTCTCTTATTTTCACTATTCTCACTGGTGTATAATGGTTCTGACATCAGATTGTTTTTTTTTTCTGTCATAGCTATGTAATAGTTCCGGTATTGCAGCAGTAGCAGTTCATTAACTCTCTTTTAGGTCAATATGATGTGGTGTTTCAGTGTTCTGTACTGATGTATTTACCCATTTTATTTGTCCAGAGCCTTGTGTTGTGTTGTGTTCAGGAGCCACAGTTGCCCTCGTAGCTTCTGTCACTTAACAGATCTGATAAAAGCACATGATTTTAATGATGTTTATAATCTCTGTCTCTGCAGATTGCTGAGACCTTTGTCCTTCAGGAAAACTGTATCCTTATCACATTGCGTGTGTGTGTGTGTGTGTGTGTGTGTGTGTGTGTCACTGTGTGTTGGAGGATGAGGAGATGGGGCGCAGCTTTGCCAGCTTGTCCATATACATATTTTCTTTTTTTTCTGGGCTGTCTACTACTGATCTGTTGTTTCACACACTACTTTTGGTACCTTGAGGATTCAGAGCGACTTGTTGCATTAAAGCTCCAGTGGATTACTTGATGCCTCACCGCCTTTAAAAAGAGCAAGAGGAAAGGACTGACAGAGGCGAAAAGAGTGGAAAATAAAAAGGATGGAGGGATTAGAGAAAGAAAGTGACAATAGATTTTGGTAAAATTATAGAAAGAGAAAAAGCACTAGTGTCTGAGCAGAATATCCAGGTGCTCAGGGAGTAGAAAGTAGATAGATACTTAGATCTGCTTTGTTGACCTGATGGAAAAGAAAACTACAGTATGTTGCCAAAACAGTACTCTTCTAAGATGAGGTAAGATGAGACACACTCATACTGAACTCAAGCTCAATAAAGACGAAGTATAAAGCAGCAGCAGGAGGTAAGAGAAGGGGGCCTGTGAAATGGAAGCAGAAAGACAGCATGAACAAGCACTAGAAATTTTGACAGATCTAATCAGAGCAAAGAGACACAGTGGGAGGGAAGAAATGAAAGAATCAAAGACAAGGCCAAGCTGGCTTAGCCATGTCATGCATGTATAGACAGAGAGAGAAGCATCAAGCAACGTCAAAGACAGATTGCTCATATCCATAAACATGAGACTGTATCCTGGAGCGCTCTCTTTGTCTTTCTGTATTTCCAATAGAGCGGATCACAGTTGGTACGGTTTTTAAGTATCTAAAACAAACAGCTCTCTATATGTTCTTTTATATATTCTCAACCTATAATCAGACCAGTGGGCATTATGGTGTATCCAGCTAGAGAGACTTTATCACCAGAGGTTACTGGACAACCTAAATACTCTACAGGAGCAGTGGGGTAACACACGTGCACCTACAGCAGCACATGTACATCAGATGCACAGATACCCAAATTAGTGTATATTTTAGTCTATGCAACAAGCTACTTACTGAAATATTCATAGTATAACTTAACCAACAAAGTGAAAGTCTACTGTAACATCTAAGAATCTGTGATATTCGCATGTAATAAAATAATGTGATGGTGCAAAACACTTTTTATATAAAATTTTATATAGATGGCTACACGTTAAAATGAGGCTTGGGAGTCACTTTACATTTTGACCCAATCCTCATCATTGGATGCGCTCATAGCACAGCTGTCACATATACTACTAAGCAACAGTCAGCAATGTACTCGAGTTGCCAGTGTTTGACTCCAAGTCGAGTCTCGAGTCTTCAGTGTTCCAGTCTGAGTCGAATCTCAAGTTCCAAGCATTTGAGTCCCAGTCACCTGTTACTGGAGTCAGAGTGATCAAGGTCCTATATGAACACAACTGACACAGTTGACCATTTTATATTCCAAACTTTCTAACAGTGTATTGCAGAGGTCACGCTCGACTTTCTCATTATCCGTCATTTTGACAGGGTCATAAAAATTCAATCATAATTTATTATTACCCCTCAATTTCAATTTTTAACAGCATTTTACATTCATTTTCTTTTCATTTTTTAAATAATTAATATACAGAATGAGCTAATGTGCAGCCACTTTTTATATTGCCACATAAAGCAGATGACTTTTTTTTTTTTTTTTTTTTTTGGTAATGACAGATGACAGCAATGGTCAGTAAAAATACTGCAACCAGTGTGCATAAATAAGCAAATATGAGCATTTCAATTTTACAAAGTTTGACAATTACCATTAAAATATGAACAACTCATTTAGAAGAAGGTCAACTAAATGAACTGAACTCGGAGGTGTTTGTCACTAGGTTTCTCATGGCCCTTAGAATTTTGATCTGAAAGCTGAACCCGCACTCTGCTGCCGCAGTGGGGACAGGACTTGCCAGATCCACTTCAGCCAAAGTTTTGATGTTGGGAAACATTTTTCTCTGGAAGTGATTAGAAGTGACTCTGAATGAGATATTTCCCAAGCCTGACACAGTCACTTAACCAGGAGGAATCCACTGCACATGCTCCTTCTGCACTAGAGGCGCAGCCGCACCCCTCTGTGATCCGTAGCGGTCATGGATATGCTCCGTTGCTTCCAGTCAATGGCTTGTCAACGGGCTGTCGGCTCCCAGATAGCGAGGTGCATTGAGCAGGTCTCAGTTGTTCCTCATCTACTGCATCAGTTCCTCTTTTTTTCACCTCATTTATCAATGCTATAGCAACCATTTGGGCTTTTTAGTAGCTCTTAACCTAACTATAAGTTAGTGTTGATCGCCCTCTGTGTTCTAATCTGCCAGAATGATGGATGGCCTTCAGATTTTTAGTCATAAAAAAAAAATTCTGTCAATTACAGAAAATATTCGGTTAACAGAACCTACTGTGTATTGCATCACCATATTGCTTGGCAAACTGATATATAAAAATCATTTATAGAAAAGTGTACAGTTAATGGAAGTACATACTGTGAATACAGCATGATGCAAATGAACAGGCTTTAATATCGGTATCTTAGGCCAAATTATGATATATACTGTATAATGTAGTTTGATTGATCATATGATGCAAACTTTATCAGGAAACTTTTAGGATTATGGGCCTAGGTTGCATTAATACTTGTATTGCTTATAGGGGAGCTCAGCTCTTAGAGGTTTTCTCATAGTGTATTAGAAAAAATATTCCACATTCACTCTCCATGTTAATTTTCCCCTAACTGCCTCTGACTGTGTCTCTCTTCATCTCTCTTAGAGAGTCAGTGTAGAAAGACTTCTTCCGACCTGGAGACCCAACATCTGGACACTCTTAAACACATCTGCCTGACGCACAGTCGGTCAGTCTCACTGTGTGTGTGTGTGTGTGTGTGTGTGTGTGTGTGTGTCTGTGCATATACTCTTCTCCTTTGTATTGTTTGTGTTTATGTATTCATTGTTACCAGCTCAGAACATTTTCTGAAAAATATTTTTGCTTTTAAGGCCTCATTGTTGGTCTGAAAACACCTGTAGAAACTTGCAATATGTGATTTATTTTGCTTGGTTGATGTGAAGTGATCTTAAGTCCAGAATATTGGGAAATAACACTTGTTAATCTTAAAAATAGTCAGACAAAGAGAGCAACATGCATTTTATTGCAGAAATGATTCCAGAGGAAGTGGGAGTCAGTTGGTCTAGTTCATCAAATTATAAAATACAACAACACAACATCTCTGTGTTTTGTTAATTAGAAAACTAGTCAGCAGTACATGGAAGAGGATGGGGGTTTTATTCAGAACTGTTATCCTGTAGCTCGGCTCCTTTGTGACTAAAACAAGCGAGGATTGGTAGTATATTTCAACTAGTTAATTTTATATGAAAGCATTCTCTAAATGTATGATAGGGTTTATGCGCTTTTAATTTCACAGCACAATAATCAGTTGAATGAAAGTTTACATCTTGTGTGCTGTTGTAAGCACTTGCTGTGTGTGTTCTTGTACTAGCTACATAGTGAGGACTAAAGTATTTTTGCTACAGAGTGAGGACATTTTGGCCAGTCCTCACTTTCTGAAAGACCTTTTTGAGGGTTACGATTTGGTTTTAGGGTTCAGGTGTATGTTAGGGTAAGGGCTAGGCATTTAGATGGTTAAGTTTAGGGTAAGGGGCTAGAGAATGCATTATATCATTATATATCAGAAAGATAGAAGTACGTGTGTGTGAAATGCGTGCTCATTCAAGTATAACAAACTAGCCAAGTGAAGCAATTTTTCAATATTTAATAGGTAGTCCTCAGTGTAGGTTACCTGCCTGACACGCTCTTTCACACCGTACACACCTGTACATACGCTCTCAGACAGGTGAAGTGTGTGCATTTGTCTGTATGACTGCGAGCGTGTATATCCTTGTGTGCAGCCAGCACTGCAGTGAAAGTTTGAACATATGGTTCTTTGCTGTTGCTGCGCTTTCAGACATTTGAGCCTTCATACTGCTAGGGTTTCACTTCGCTTAACTCATGCACACACACACACACACACACACACACACACACGTTGCAATAGCCAGGGGAAAGTGTTCAGGCTAATATTAGATTAGGAGAGTAGAGAAGGAGCACCCGTCTTTTGCGTCTTCCTTTACTAAAACCAGGAACAGAGCTTCATTTTTCTCACTATCGCACTCTTTCTCTTTTCTGTTCACAGGCCAAGGGCGAGAGATGCTGTGGTAAGGCACTCATCATTTTTGTTGTGTTTCTGTCCCTGCAAGAGTGCGAGAGAATGTGCATACATAAGACAGGGCAGAGTGAATGTGTGTTTTGCATTTTCACTGACTCACTGATGTCATGTTACATCCATTTTAAGTGTCAGTGGTGTGTACCTGCTGGTAATTTATACATTACTAAAGTATTTGTTATGTAAAAGCAGCACTGCATTTCGACAGATATATATTTGTGTTTTGTGTCTACAGCATCCATCTGTGGACTTTTTGAGACCTGCATGTACCTCAGGTGAGTGAGTGTGTGACAGAGTTGGTGTGTGGTGACTACAAACCACAACTGGGTGGATTTACACTGTTGCACTGCTCTTTCAAGGTTGAATGTATGAACTCAAAGTTCAACTAAAAGTTTTTGAAAAAGCTATTAAGTGGTTCTTAGAGCAGTGATAAATGTTCATGCTCATCTTATGTAATGCTTTGGGATGTAGTTCATATGTGGCATGTTTATTTAGGCTAAAGCAAGCAAAGCCACTTGTATTTTGACCAAAGCTCTGATTTAAGATGAGAATTTTAATTTGTGGACTCCCTGATATGGTTTAGTGGTTGTTTTTAAAAAGAAGATTGTGATCCATCCCATTTATACTGTGTTATCTATACCGCTTATCCTGAAGAAGGTCAGAGGGGGCTGGAGCCAATCCTAGCTGACATTTGGTGAGAGGCAGGGTCCACCCTGGATAGGTCACCAGTCTATGACAGGCTGACACTTAGAGACAGAAAACCACACACACACACACACACACACTTACTCCAATCATCAGTCACCAGTCAACCTAAGCTGCAGGTTTTTGGACTGTGGGAGGAAGCCGGAGTACCCAGAGAGAACCCACGCAGGCACAGGGAGAACATGCAGACTCCACATAGAAAGGCACTGGGTTGGCCCAGGCTCAAATCTTGAACCTTCTTGCTGTGAGGCAATTTTATAATTTTTTTTAATACACAAGAGATATTTATGCATCTTTTTGGTAGTTAATAGGAAAATCCAGTACAGTTTCATGCGCCAGCTTCAGGCAGCGAGTATGCGGAAAATCAGATGAAGTCATGTCCCATTGAATTTTACACACAGAGTGTAACTGTGTTGAAAAGATTTATTGTAAAGGTTTTATGCATCGGCCCTCAAATGTGTATTTGAGAGCAGTTCTGCCTCTAGTAAAGACATTGCTGCATATAATGCATGCTGTCTGCATAGAGTTAATTGTGGTGACAAACAGTCTGCATACATTAATGGCACTAATTAACTTTAGTACATTTCTCCAGCAGAGGAGGAGAGAACCCACCTCTCCTTCTACCACCGCTGAAATCCACTCTACTCTCAGTTTATCTTTTTCATTTTTTTCCATCCAGCCTATCAGGTTGACGGAGGGATGGAGCGAAGCTCAGAAGACCCCTCCTGTTCTCAGAGTAGCCATCCAGACGTTTTCCATAGGTCTCAGCTGACTGACAAGGAGCACAGCGACAGAGGAGGAGGAGAGGCGGAAGGAGAAGTGGAATACACCATTACAGTCATAGGAAATGGTCAGCACCCCTCTATAGCTGGAGGAATGGATCAGTCCAAGCCCGCAGAGCAGCAGGGAGGAGATTTAGGTCCTGCACAGGAAAAGGAGGCAAAAAGGGAAGAAGAGGAGAAGGGTGTTGAGAAGGCAGCAGAGGCTTTGGAGATGAAAGATGAGGGAGAGGAAGAAGAGGAGCAGAAGCAGAAGGACAGAGCCTGTCAGAAAGCTGTCCCAGCAGAGAGCCTGTCCAGCGGGGCAGAGGTGGAGGTACATCAGCTGCAGGAAGCTTTAGCTGAGGAGAAGCTACATGAGCAGACACAGGTATACATCAGAATGTGTTGACTACTTAAGGCAATTTAGCTTTGAGGTTTCAAGTTTATTTAAAAACAAATCAATGTAAATAGAAAAAAAACACAGTCCATAAATTAAAGCCATGCACTGTATGTTCTCTGTAGGTTTCTCCTATGTTTAGGTATAAATTTTACACTTCACTTTCCTAAGTCTGTGTCACCAGGACCAGTGTCATATTTGTTTTCTTCTGTTAATGAGGTTTTTGCTTGTGTAGGTTTCTTAAGCAATGGCGGCTATTGCAGTTTATGCTAACTACTCACTTCCTCTCTTTATCATAATGAATGAGTTGTGCTATTCCTGGGAACAACCTACCCATCACTGGTTGTCGTCAACAGCAGGAACTTTAGTGGTTTAAACCAGAATTGTACTGTAGTAGTCAAGTAGAGAGTAGAACATCAAATGTAACTGCTGTCTTTGTAACTATATATTGATATGTATGTACCAGGAGACTCCTGTTCCTCAAGAGGCTCATATGAAGCAGCAGGAGCAGGCTGAAGAGGAAGAGGAAGAGGAGGAGGAGGAGGAGGAGGAGTACGAAGTAGAGCAGGCTGACATCATCAGAGAAGCTGCCTCACTGGACAACATGGCTAAACTCATCACTGTAGAGGAGGTGAAGATGTGTTTTTCTGTGGATGAGTGGGGGAGAGTTTAGCAAGTTGCATTTAATTAGTTGGGTAATTTAGGGCATTTGTCGATCCATTTGTGTAGAGGAAGGATTATGAATTTAGCCTGGCATGATTGGTGACACTTTGCGGTCCTTTCAGCCCGACACAGTAGCTCTTGAACTCAACAGAAAAACACTGGGAGGACCACAAACACATTTTAAAAATGTTAACGGAAAACTGGTGATTTGACGTCTGTTGGTATCTGCCCATTAGAGCTTTTATAATGGACAGCATGGCGCCCCTGTGGAAGCACACCTAATGGTATTACCTAGCCATTACTGTGAATCCTAGACTATGGATTTGTTTGCCAACATGATGTTTATCTCTGTACTGAGACAGTTTGACTCTGAGGAAGAAGTTGGAGAACAGGAAATGTCATGCACTTGCAGTGTCAGCATCCAGCAGGATTACTGTGTTGTTACTCTGATACAATTATTTGATTGGTGGTGTCATATCTGTGTCTGATGTGTTCATCAAAAAGCTTTTTTTTCTATTATTGAAAGACAAAAAAGGGCGAGACAAATGGCAGCTGCAGAGATGGAAGGAACCGAGGTGCGGTTGCCTGCTTTTATCACCTACAGGAGAGCGGGCAGGGAGATACTGTTTAAGCTGCAGTAGCTGTAATATCGGGCATTACATTGTTACTACATAAAGTAATGTTAGGATAAGCCGAAGTATTGTTAAATGCGCACTTGGACAAAGTTTTGCATTTTAAACTGTTGTGTTGAGCCTGGGATGAAAGTCAAAATCTAATGGGCATAATGTCTTTGATAGGAGACAGTGTTTCCCACAGAATTAGATGAATAGTGCCTCTGTGCTTGCTGTTGTTGTTGTTGTTGTGCTGTTCATGTCACACAGTAGCATGTTGGCCGCTGCCCTCCTCCTCTCCAGTACATCTCTGTCTTCAGCCAATCACACTGGTTGGGCCTGTGTGTTTTCTTGCACTTCTAACCTGAACTCCATTTTGCCAGTGTATCTGGTCCAGACTGTCTTTACGGCTCCTCAGGATGAGCTCTTCAACTCTAGGAAAATCTTCTTCTATTTTTCAATATTCCTATGGGCTGGGGGAGCAAACATTCAGCCTCAGAGTTTAGGAATTAGCATTAACTTTATCCACTTGTTGAGCAGTCCATATACCTCCATGCTATGTAAACTCAGCAGTAAACTTTAGCTTGACAGCTAGATTACTAGCTAGATTGACAGCATTGTGTTATGAACAAAGACACGGAGAGGATGCGGGACATGGAGTGGCTGAGTGAATCACTGTTCTATGTGCAGCTCTATAATGAAATAAGATTGTTTCTCTTTTAAATAGTAGCCTATAAAAAGAAAATCAAGAGCACTATGGCCCCATTCTCTTGAACAGATAAAAATAAATTAATTAATTAAAATGGTTGACCAGATATGAGTAAAGTATTTGTGGGAAACACTGGGACAGCAGTGCCTGCTACTGTGTGACAGTGAATCTGATAGAGGGAGCACTGATAGGTTTCAGGTTAAGTGCTGCTGATTGTGTGGTGTACTGCCACCTGGTGGTCATGGCCGATGACACGTTCTTCCTCATACACAAACAGAAATAGGATAGGAGTAAATAGAAATTGTGGTAATATTAGTATTTGTGTCCAAATGTGCTAATGTCTCTTTGTTTTTTGTTGGTTTACCTTCTCTCTTCACAGATGTCCCCTGCCTCCGGCCTGGTCTCCATATTGAAGAAGCGGAGTGTGTGTGAGGACAACACGAGCCTGTTTGCCGGTTCACTGCCCCGGCCTGACAAACCCACGGCCAAAAGACGTGTCCGCTTTAGAGTTCCTGATGACAGCTATGAGAATGGTGTGTGTGTGTGTTTATTGCCTATGACTCAGAGATAAATTTAACCTACACTAAATGTGCAAATCCATTGTGACATTGTTCAAAATTGTTCCACAGTACACATTAATCTGCTCTTGTGTACCCTCCTTCCAACTCACTGTGTCTTTCTTTCTCTGTAGACGTTGGCGGTGGGGACTCCTGCCTGCTTCTCTTCCTGCTTTGTCTGGTTACCGTAGTGATCAGCGTGGGTGGCACCGCCCTCTACTGTGCTCTGGGCGATTCCCAGTCCTCAGTCTGTCAGGACTTCTCCAGAAATGCAGACTTCTATGTTGGCGAGCTACAGCGCAGGATAGCACAGATCCAGCACTGGTTCACTCCTGGGTCATAGCAGCAAACAGTTTGCCAACACTGAGAGCTGCTGTTTATCACCGTAGGTCCCAGCTGTTTCTGCTGCTTCCTGGGACAGTGTGTTCTGAGGTGCCAGGGAACTGCTACAGTCTCTGCCACCGTGTGGTCATTATGCTGCCTAATTCGCTATATGAGTATATCAGACACAGTTTGCACTTGGAAGTTTACTCTGTTGAGTTTTTAGTCTTCTGTGAATCCAGCTCCAGGATTCATGGAGACTAAAAGTCATTGGTCAGATGTTCCTTTACAAGACAAACTCAGAAAGAAAAGCAGAACAGATGGAGAGTATAATTGAAGAGGAAGGGGAGGACGCGCTGACCTACACCTCTCTCAGCCTTGTCCAGATAAAAACAAGATGGAGACCAGGCCAGAGGTTTAAAATTTTGACTTGACATAAGTGTCTTGTTGAATGAGCCGTTTCCTTATTCACTGTCAACCGGTGTCACTTAAATTTCCAATGTCACCGGTAGAGAAATCAACTATGATTCACTCTGGACTCAGCTTCCTCAGTTAACAATAAGAACAAAGTAATACCAGCTGTGGAGATGTAACAAATGTGTAATGTATATTTTGTGGATTGAGGAGCACAGAGAGCTCTCTCCACACGCACTGCACAAATAGAAAATGACCCAGTGGACATTTTACAAACTGCTGCAACCACTGCTGTTGCTTTTATTGCTGACTTTTTAAAATTGCAAATGAAATTTTAAAACGAACAAACTTTTCTGTGGTCTACTACTTGGAATGAAATCATGTATTAATCATGTCTTAAACCTTTCATTGAAAGTTTGGAGTTGCTTTGTGTCACCGGTGAATACACTATATTGTCTGATTAACAAGGATTGTTTTGGTACTTATCAAAACTGAGCTGCTGATGGACAGCAGGCACATCAAGTGTGTCTCAAGGGGAAACCTACACATTTTTACATATAACAGCTGCGATGCTAGGTTATGCGTTGCATTTGCAGTTGCTGAAGAACTCTGCACACAGTTGATGTGGCTGACATGTCGCTACCTTTTTTGTATAACTACCAACAATGGATTTGCAGAGAGCTGCCACTGGAGACTCAAGGTCCAAACTGTTCAGTTATAGGTTCCTATGAGCTAATTTTAGCTTTGGTGTAGCATAAGCAACATGTAGAGAAACACAGTGCACCTGTGTATATATTGTCAGAAGAATGTTTATCACGTTGCACATAAGACTGGTACGGTTTTGTTTTTAAAGATATTGCAATATTTCCACGGGAATTGTTCTGTTTGTCCGGGACTAAATGCAGGCTTGACATGATTTGATCAGAAAGAAAAAAAAAAACCCAAATCCACCAACTGTTTTCAGGTTCAGTGTGGAAAGAATGTGCCAGTGAACATGAGCTATGCACAGTAAAAAGTGATGAATGAGAAAACAGTTATTTAGCAGACATGTTCTGTGTCAGGCCTTGACATTGACGTGATCATTTGAAGCACTGTGTCAGCGCAGCAATACCTGGCTGTGTGTTGTAGAGGATACTGGGCATCGTCCTTAGTGTGTGGAAGTTATTGTTTACAGAATCATTTTTGGGCAGCGTTTGACACCACATTTAAAGCGTAGTTAATATTTGTTAGGGGTAACGTGTTCCTATCTACTGAAACCTCTCTGGGTGGAGAAGTGATGTTATGTAAAAGTCTTACCCTTTGCTCATGAAATCCACCCTTTATCCTCACAACCTTGCTTCAACTGATCATTGTAAAGCAGATGTTAGTCTTAGTCTCATCAGTTTACTGTTTAATCTCAATTTCTGCTGAGTCAGGCATCCATAGTTTTAATGTGTGAACATACTGCAGAGTTTGGTGTCCTGTCCATTATTTTGTACCGAACTGGATGCCACAGAAAGTGGCCTAGAAAAACCACATATCTCACAAAGGTCCTAATAATCATGGCAGTCAAGAGCAAAAGGACAGATTCACGTGTCTGTAACAGTTCATTAGAGAGATGAGGTTTTCCCGGGATGTAAGAAATAGATTGATTCTTGTTTTTGTTTGCACGTCTTCTGGCTGGTTCAGATGACCATCACTCAGATAAGCTTATTTAATCTTTTATATAGTTTTAAGTATTTATAATAATAGATATTGCAAATGTAGGTGATTAAAAGAAATCTTTTGTTTTAGTTTTACTTTGATAAAGAATTGGATCTCGTGTTATAACCTACAACTGCTTTCTGAATACCATCATCTGGGTCATTGTGATATGCTGTTGATTTTCATTCACTTTTTGTTAGTGCTGCTGTCAGTAACACCCAGACTCTTAGAAGATTCATGTTTCTTCCATCTGTGGGCACAGGGTGAGCCTCATTTCTTTTATCTGTTTATTAACAGAACATTTGAAATCCTTTTGTGTGTGTACCACTGTCAGTGACCATCAACCTGATGTTTTAGGGACTGTCTAAAGACATCTTTACACTTTGTTCTTATAGTTTGTTACAAGGGAGATGAGTCTTTTCCCTGTTGTCTCCTGTTAAAGCTGTTTGAAAAAAGAAACTTCTTTGTGAGCCTCCATTTTGTGTCTTCTGCAAAAATACTGCCCTGCATTCTTGTTTATACAACTAAAGGGTATTGGCCAGATGTAGTATTTAGAAATTCTGAAGGTGATTTGACAAACATTGCTCTGGTACTAGATGGGTTACAGTAGGCTGTCTGTAAGTCTCACAGTAATCTGCTTGACTCAGTCATGTAGCAGAACATTTACCAGGGATGACATTTAACATAAATAAAACAAAGCACAGTAGCCCAGTTGATTGTGAGCATTTAGGGTTTTACAGATTTGGCCTCCTGAGAAAACTCTGTTGGGGTGTACAGTCATGTTACACATCCAAAGCAGCATGGAGTCAACAATCTATAGACTGAAACTTACAAGGGCCGTGTTCACAAAATTTTATATGCATGGTGATTTTTTAAAAAGCCATGAAGTACATTTCCATGTATCTCTGTTGTAGAGTAAGTTTGGCTTCTCTGACATAAGATGCATGTTTGAATTTGCTGGAAAATAAACCTCTCTGCCTGCTATATATTATAGCTATTATATTTATTAGTGACACATTTATCAAGTGAACTGCTGTGTTCAGTCTTATTTTGATGATGCTAGTTACCTATTTCAGTAGTCTGAGGGCTTCTCTTGATATTACCTGAACTACCTCATGAACAGATTTCATTAGAATGTACTAGAGTAAAGTCTAGGTTGAGAGGTTGAAACTGACCAGTATCACCTTCATGCAGGAGGATTTATTGCAGGACTGCTGGTTTAGGCTGCATTAGTTTTAGATTAGTTTACCTAATAAACAGGCAAACGAGAGTAGATTCAAAACAGGTTCCATGTGTTTCAGACTTGACCTTTTTGACTGGTAAATTCTTAGCAACAATCCTTGTAAGACATTTGGAGAAGATGAAAAAATATTTGATTTATTTTTGTTCAGTTGGCCCAACAGTAGTAATTAATCATATCTTTGGATTACGAAGATTGTCTTTACTGTGCGACCATCCTTTATCAGCTAAATGCTCTTTTTTTTTTTCCAGGCACTATGTGTCCCAACCACAGGACATGTTTTATGAAGCATCAGTGTATTTACAGTTGAGGTCAGAGGTTTACATACACTTAAGCTGAAGATATTACTTTTTTTGCCACTCCACAGATGTCATGGTAACAAATTTAGAGTCGGCAATCAACCTAAGATACAGTGCATGTCTTTGGACTGTGGGAGAAAGCTGGAGTATCCAGAGCGAACCCACGCAGGAACAGGGAGAACATGCAGACTCCACACAGAAAGGCCCTGTGTTGGCCTTGGCCTGGAACCTCCTCCTGTGAGGTGACAGCACTAACCACTGCACCACCATAGGTAAATTGGTTTACTTATAATTCACTACATCACATTTCCAGTGGGTCGGAAGTTTACATCCACTTAGTCAAGTGGGCCTTTAAACAGCTTGGAAGAAGCCACTGCTGCAAGACTGACATAAAAAGGCCGACTACAATTTGCAGCTGCACATAGAGACAAAGATCTTACTCTTTGGACAAATGATGAAACAAAGATTGAGTTGTTTGGCCATAATGACCATCATTATGTCTGGAGGAAAAAGGGGGATGCTGAAGAGCACCATCCCAGCTGTGAAGCACGGGGGTGGCAGCATCATGTTATGGGGGTGCTTTGCTGCAGGAGGGACTGGGGCACTTCACAAAATAGATGGCACCATGAGGAAGGAAGATTATGTGGATATATTGAAGCAGCATCTCAAGACATCAGCCAGGAAGTTAAAGTTTGGTCACAAATGGGTCTTGTCCAAACGGACAATGACCCCAAGCAGACTTCCACAGCTGTGGCAACATGGCTTTAGGACAACAAAGTCAAAGTACTGGAGTGGCCATCACAAAAGCCTGACCTCAGTCCAATAGAAAGTTTGTGGGCAGAACTGAAAAAGCGTGTGCGAGCAAGGAGGCCTACAAACCTGACCCAGTTCTATCAGTTCTGTCTGGAGGAATGGGCTAAAATTCCAGCACCTTATTGTAAGAAGCTTGTGGCAGGCATCCTGAAACATTTGATCCAGATTAAACAATTTAAAGGCAACGCTAGCAAATACTAACTGAATGTATGTAAACTTCTGACCCACTGGGAATGTGGTGAAAGAAATAAAATCTGAAATAAATCTTTTTCTCCACTATTATTCTGACATTTCACATTCTTAAAATAAAGTAGTGACCCTGACTGACCTAAGACAGGCAATGTTTATAGGATTAAACGTCAGGAGTTGTGAAAAATGTATTTGGCTAAGGGGTATGTGAGGTATGTGGCTAAGTGGTATATGGCTTCTACTTTATCTATATCTTTATTTCTTTCACATTTTTGATAAAACAGAATTTAGGTGAAGTAAACAAAGATACCTTTCTCTGGTTGTAATCCTAAAAAAAGACCCCTAACATTTATTTGTAGCAGACAGAAAACTATAGAACTGATATGAAAAATTAATAGGCTATACGGGTGACAAAGGTGTTTTGTGCGTGCTCGTGACGTCACGACGCAGTTCGTGCGTCTATTGCGGATGTAAACAGTGGCCAGGTTCACGTGGAGGGAGACCGAATATGTCTGCGAAGCTGGAGCGTTTTGTGAGCCCGGGAAAGGGTAACGGTCTGCGGGCCACTGCCAAGATCAAGAGAGGGGAGGTTTTGTTCTCCGCCGAGCCGCTGGCGTGTTGTGTGGCCAATAAACAGGTCAGAGATGTCTGCCACCACTGCTTCATACGGTGAGACGATCCAAACACCCTGCTTTGGAAGCAGAAAGCATGTGTAGTAGCCTACATGAGTATTATGTACAGTCTGCAGGTTGGTTCGGTGGTTTGTAGTTCGGTGTGGTTAATAGGGACGTTATTGGTTCATGCCAACACTCTGGACATGTAAATAAAATTCACACCGCACTCGAGTCGTGAGTTCTTCTCTGTCAGTTTGCTTTGCTATCACAGGCTTAATACAGGCCATAGCTTATTGTATACATGTTGATGGTATGTGCGTGTCTGCGTATAGCTAAAATGTGTGTTTGCCGGTGTTCTGACAAATTTTGCTACCTATCAAGACGTGCTACCCGCCGTTCACAAAGTGGTTAGGGTTAGGGTGATGGATTGGGGTGGGGTTAGTCAGTCCATAGATTTTGCAACAAGGTAGTATATCTCTACAAAGTAGCAAAATTTGACAGAACACCGGCTACTTAAAATCTAGGTTAGTAAGGTTCTTCAACTCAGCGCTAGGTGGCACCATCGCTCTTTCGTGGTTTCAGTCATTCAGTCATTTTGTGATTGTTAGAACCACAGAGCCCCCTAAACCCCTGGGCCCCCTGGTCTGTGCCCAGTGGGCACGTCCATGATAATAATTTTCTTAACAGAAATGGATTGCAGGCTTATTGTGGTAAAAAAAAAAGTAGCTCTCCAATAGTTATCAATCCACAAAATGTGCCAAATGTTGGGGGAGCATTCACTTGGAAGCACGGTATTCACATTAAACGGTGTTTTGACCTGTTGCTGGGCCCCACAGTGGGTATCATGCCGTGCTGCCATAAATCCACTGGGCCTCATGACAGGCGACACCACTCTCTAGCTCTAATCTACAGTAACTTTAAACTGACCCTAGATAATTTCAAATTGCTTTTAACTCCTACACTCAAGTAAAGAGTAAATACTACACTGTGCCAGCTGAGGCTAAGCTGTCTTGGCCGCCCCACTAGCTTGATTGACTGTTTCATTTGAATACCTCAGCTACCTCAGTAATCCAGCCATTATCCCTGCTTATCTAGCTCGAGTACTGGTTATACTGTATGTCAGATCATAAAATGCAGCACTGACTAGCCTAGCTGCATGGCCCAAATTCCTGGGGCTTTGTAATTTTTTTTTACCAAAAGAATGCATCACACAAAGCACAAAGAGGGCTTACAGGGGGCCTCTGGGCACAGACATGTTAAAGGCCCCCCTCTGAACTCCTACACCCAACTGAAAGCATGACTTTTATAGTTATTTTGCACCTTTTCGTGGTGATTTTCTGTCTTTTTGTGGACATTTTGAGTGTCTTGGTAGTTGGTTTGCACCTCTTTCTTTTGCATGTTGCCTGTATTTGATAGTTGACAGTCTAGAGAGAGAGAGAGAGGAAACAAGGGCAGATGGAGAGAGGAAGGGGTATGGCATCAGCAGAGCTCCTGTGGCTGGCAATCAAACCCTGGATGTTGCAGATATGTGTATGTGCCTCAACCCCTGAGGCCCCTGTGCCTGTTTGACAGGTTCAGTGGTGATTCTATGGGAGGCCCAGCAGCACATTTCAAGTCTGGGTCCCTGTAGCATGTAGTTTGGCCATAATGCTGTATATTTGGTGTGACGATTTACATTCATATCCTGTACTATCTCTTTAATATTTCAGGTTGTATTAAGTCTTGTCCCCTGTATTATCTTGTGATATTTGTCCAGCTGGATGCCTAATGGCACTGCTGCTTTCTCTGCTGTAGCCAAACCCACTTCATCAAACTAAGCAGATGAATGTGAATTTAATGAGAGTGGAGAGGAGAGACACCATTGTGCTGATTTCTGGTCCAGGGACAGCAAGGTGAGTGAAGAGTACTTTGGGACTGTATGTGGTAATGTCGGGGAAAATTAAACGTTAAATGGCTGGAAATGAGCAAAGTGATCAGCCATGTGCTCTTTAACCATGAATAGAGGCAGTTCACTTTTGCTTTTAGTCTCTGAATGGGGATTGTAGAAAATGCTATTATTATAGAAAATGTCCGACCTTATCCCTAAAGTTTTGGAGAGTATGTTTTAAAGTTAGCAAAAAGTTAGATATGGTAGCTTTTAACATTGTAATATCGTATTTTTTCAGGATCTCAAAAAGAGATTCAGCGTTCCACACAGGAAAATACAGTTATAACAAATCAATAATGCATCAATAATGCATTTGTGGCTCTGCTGAATTCCATTATATTTATATGAGCTTGGGGCAATTACACACGGGGGTGTGTGTGATATAAGATGTAGTCCATGTTGTGTGGCGCATGGTTATATTTTTGGGATATTGAATAAGTGTCATGGCTACATCTGCTTGGTCTGTGGTCGGCACTCATCGACACAGTGTCTGAATGTCTGTAGCACATTTTTTTATTGATCCGAATTCAGTGAGAGATCAGTGGGTTGTGTTGGTGTGACAAAAACACTTGTAGAACACAGGAGTAGCACACACACACACACACACACAGAGGACCCAAGGCAGAGATTGGTCTCAGAAATGAGTGTTTCTCTGTTTCCACTAAAGCACAATTAGTCTCACAGCGGTGACTGAGTGTTGTGAGTGTGCATTTCTTCCTGTGAGACATGTATTTTATGTTTGAATGCATGTGTGTTTTTGTGTGTGTGTGTGTGTGTGTGTGTGTGATGAAAATGAGCAGGTGGGGGAAGGCATCAAAGCCGGAGTTAATTACAGGCCTTGATGTAAGTAATGAGTGAGGAATGCTGAGGGAACAAACACACAACACAAACTTGCACACATCTCAGCAGGACTCAAATCGCCGGTGGTCAACAAACAGTTATTAGAGGTTCTCAGACTCGGAGTGAGGAGGGCGCCAGGAGAGAGAATGGGAACAAAGACAGTCACAGCAGAAATCTTTGCCATTTGTAGTAACACTTGAAATGCATCTACATTGTTAATTAATTAGAAAAGATGGTGTAACAGTCTCTTTGGTGTCAATGTGGTGATTTCACGCATCAGTTTGTTTTATTTTATTGTTGTAAAGTTTCTTGTGGTTCCCTCCTTGAAGGACTTGTGGTCACCGAGGCGTCAGCTAACGAGGGTTTCTGTGAAAACATAACGAGAGGCAGAAAGTGCCTTGAGGTGTTAGGCAAAGAATATAGAATATGATGACTGGTGGGTATGTGTATTTGGCTCATTGATCATCTGAGGTATATATGTTTTTGATGATTCTGAGATCCAGTCAGTTTGAGGTTCTGTGGCTGTAACTAACATTATCTACACACTGCTGTAATAGTGAGTTCTAAGGCCCATGACACATGAAGCTGGTGAGCATCTGTCGCCCTCATCTTCGCAGTACGCCCTGTTGGCGGCTTTTTTGGCCGATTTTGCATGTTGAACTGGTGGCGGATCTTGCCGTCGAGAGAGACCACTCTGATTGGCTGTTGAGCTTATCAAATCAATGGTTTTGGAAAACCCCTTCAGCCTGTTGCTGTAGTGTCCATGATTTCACCCATTTAGTGCAGGTTCTCCTCCACAACCAATAGACCAAGGGCAGAGGACGCCAGTGTCGTTTGCAACTTCTCCTCAGACGCATTCCCGATTAGAAGCCTCTGTAAACAACAGCTGTGTTGAACGAGAGCTGCTTTGTTTACACTTGCATTTCTGCAGTTTAGCTCTTCTGTCCATTTCTGAATGGTGAACACAAATACTGCCACCTGCTGGTAGGGGGAGTTATTTCTGTCACGTAGGCACAGAGCATACATACTAGTTGGTCGCTGGCTGTGGTCTGTGTGGTGTGTTCAGGTGCCGCTTTTTCGATGGTCAGCCTATGTCGCTGCTAGTTCTTTCATGTTAGATTGGTATGTCTGCCCTAAAACCCAGAAATGAGTTAGCATTTTTGCACTTTTGGTTCCCTTGCCCTAAAGTCGGTGGGTTTTCTTGAAATAGATTTTTGGTTAGATTCAAAATCAGAATCAGAATCAGCTTTATTGGCCAGGTGTGTCGGACACACCAGGAATTTGACTCTGGTACATCGGCTCTCAACGTGCATGTATATATCCCCATGCAAGGGGCAAGTAAACAGTAAAGCAACATAAGGCTGTGTAGCATAACAAAGTAAACAGTACTAACAGTATTATTCCTGAAATAAGGTCTGTGATTAACACAAGGTCAATAAATGTTTTATTCTTCAAGAGAAAATCTCCTTTTTTATGTTTCAGGTTGTGATTGGTAAGTTGTGTTACTGCAGTGTAACAAAGAAAACATTTTCATGTTTGAGCCGTAATACTGAGCCTCCAAAGCCAAACATGCTGTTTTTCCAGTTTAGATCAACACCAGTGATTAACTTACAGTTTGAAAAAAGTTTCAACAGAAAATGTTTGCACATAATAAGAGAAACGGGATCCCAGTCACAGCGGGAGGTAAAGATTAGCTTTGGCACACTGAGAGGCAGAAGAGGAAGTTCCAGAGAAAGATGGAGGTGGAGGAGAGATGACACACGGTCTCTGTTGGACAGATAAGACATCAGACACACACAGTTCTGATGGGTTTTTCTCTGCATTTGACAGATCAAAGAAGAACTTGGATAAATTTCTCTTTCTCAGATGTGTTGTCAGGTCATTGTGTGTGTGTGTGTGTGAGGCACTGGGGGTTGGGAATGGGGCAACAATATCTGTCAAATGAAGTCTTTATGTTTGACACCAATCTGTCAGCTTGTCTCTCTTTGGAACACACAGTATACACACTGTATCAGTCCAACCAACAAAAACAAAACATCTAAAACTTCTTTTTATAGCAGGAAACCTTTGATTGAAATGGACATAAACCAGTTTACAGGGAGTCTTCATTATTTTAGAGAACATAAAAATATTATTGACAGGCGGTCGACTCAAGCTTTGTTTCAGATGGATGTAAAAGCCAGAGACAAATGGAAACGGTGGATGAAGTCGTGACACTGGCTTTTGAGAAAATCTGTAAAAATATGAGAAATCATTTTGGAACACAGTGAGATGTGACCGTTTTTCTG